AAATGAGTGCACTGGTAAAGGGCCTCTCTGGCTGTGTGGTTTACTCAAGTTTCATGACTCTGTTAGAACCTTTCAAGACAGATCCTGTAGAGAATAAGTGAGCCCCAGAACAGCAACTTACGAGCCAGAAGCTGTTGGGAGACTTTCTGTCACAGCCTGCCTCTCTCATCTTACAGGGGACAGACAGGTTCTGAAAGTGTTCTCTTGAACAAAAGCTACTTTCTCAGTCTTTGACCTCTCAGCTCTCTTGGCTTCAACCCATCCATTTCTCACCACTACCATGATGACGTGATTAACAGATAATTGAATTAAAACCCATGTTCTAACATATTAAACAGAAAACAAGAGAGCTGAGAAATGTTAGTATCCTCTCTCTCCCTCCGCCCTTCTCTGTGTATATGTGTGTGTGTGTGTATCTATGTCTCTCTCTCTCTCTCCCCCTGTGTGTGTGTGTGTGCGCACATGCGTGTGTGTGTGTGTGTGTGTGTGTGTGTGTGTGTGTGTGTGTGTTGCTTGTTGGGAATTGAATTCAGGGCCTCTGACCCTGTTGGTGGATCTCATTTAACTATGATCAAAATGAAAATGGGAAAGGGTCCCTTTATAGAGCTTTCTGCAGTTGAGTCCCTGAAGTGCCTTCCAGTCTGGTTTCCTTAAGTTCTCTGGCCAGCGGGGCCGTTCATTGGTTCTTCTCATCTTCCTTTTCTGGGAGTTCTATCTATACCTATCTATGCCTTTCCTATACCTCTTTCTTTCAAACATTTGTCCTTCTTCTCTGTCTGTGCTCTCATAACATTCTTAAACAGGGATTTCAATTTCTATGTAAATCCTTATTTCCAAACATTGGGAACCATTCCAATGTGGTTTCTCCATAATATTTTTCTACAGTCACAGGTTGTCTACAGTATGACTACTCCCTGATTTTTTTTATGAATTTAGGAGCCAAAGGAAAACATACAACTGCCTTTATAGGCATCAGTGTGTTATTAACAAAAGAGCTTTTTAATGTAATACCCCTAGTTTAGCTCAGTTCTAATCATTATGGCTGATATCATTTGGAAGAACAATTTATTGGGCTGGAGAGATGGTTTAGCAGTTAAGAGCGCTTGCTGACCTTCTAAAGGACCTAGGTTCTGTCCTCAGTACCCACGTCAAGTGGCTCATGACTGCCTGCAACTCTGGCTCAGTGGATCTGACATCTGGCCTTTGTGGGCAACTGCACACACATGGTCCATATAAACTCATGCAGGCACACATTCATACACATAAATAAAAGCAAATCTTTCTGAAGATTTTATTACTTGTTATGTGTGTATGCGTGGGTCTAAGTGTCCCACCATTCTGGAACTGGAGTAACAGGAGGCTGTGAACCTCCCACCATGATTATGCAGGCTTGAACTTGGATCGTCTGCAAGAGTAGTATGCTCTTAACCACTGACCCATCTCTGCAGTCCCAAAAATCAATCTTTTCTTTAAAAAATTACTGTCTCATTTATTTGATTAAGATAGATTCCCTAAGAGTAAGTTACTTCTAAATTCTGATTTCCAAATCAATGTTTTCATTTTTAAAAAAACAGAATCACCAGATATGTGTGTGTGTGTGTTTGTGTGCAATTGCTTATTTCCTAATGCAGTAAATTAAATAATTTGAAAGTCTTAAGAGATTTGTGAATTTTTTGTTTGTTTAATTTTGCCATGTTAGGTCTTCTGTTCTATCTACTGATGAAATTCTCCTTTCAATTAGAAATTTTAATCTTAATTTGGCAGTCTTAAAAATATTGACTGTTATTTATCTTCCATCTTTAAGATCTTCTAAACTATAGTAATACTTTTTTAAGATTTATTTATTTATTATGAATACAACATCCTGCCTCCATGTCTGTCTGCAAGCCGACACCAGATCCCATTACAGATGGTTGTGCTCTTAACCTCTGAGCCATCTCTCCAGCCCAGTAATACTTCTAAAATGTGTGCTACCTAATGATTCCACAAAGAATAATGTTCTAAAATTAAACTGGAATTTTGTTAATGAAGATTAAAGATGCTTAATGTACAAGAAAGTCTACCTGGTGCCATTGGCTCAACATTTTATAACATACTGAACATAGGTGACTTATTTGGCCTAATTCTTTTTTAACACTGCTCGGGATCTTCTCCAAAGCCTCCTGCATGCTATACAAACAGATCATTTTAGTTTTTAGGTCAGGCTATTAGAATTTATAACAAAGTATGACTATAGTTTTCTTTGTATAGCCTTTGATCAGGACACTTTCTGCCCCTGTATTTGTTAGGTTTGTAGCTGTTGTGGTACACTTAACTATTTTGATACCCATATCATAATATAAAATCTATTCTAATTAGCAGAAACAAACTGACTTGGAGAAGTATAAAATGTGAACAAGGGGGTCTAGACCCACATATAGCATGTTTCACACATTGGCTATGGTACCATCTATGACCCGAAAGGCAACTGAGCATTAATTCTGTTGTCATTGAGATGGAAGGGTTTCATATGGGCTGTGATCTGCACTCAGTAAGAGCAGTTGCTGTTGCTACGCACATATACAGTGAATGCTCATCACCAGTGTGAAAGGCAGTGGAGCCTAATGTTAACACACACCTGAAAAACCCAACAGGTAAACATGCACATTGAAATGCAGGGAAACTAAACGGTGTATCTTTCTTCAAAATAACTGTTATAATCAGGCACACAAAACATGATGATCTAAGACTCCAGCTGTTCTGTGGCATCCAGGCCCTTGTTCATTGAGTGGGCAGAATGGCTCCCTGAATTGGAGAAGGGCGTGCATACCACAGTGACTGAGACTGCTGTGCATGCAGGAGGCGGGCTGTTCTTTGTCTTTGAAAATGAACTCCTGGCTGTACTTTGGCCTCAGAGACATGAATGTAATGAAAAGAAAAAAATCTTTCAGGTGGGCAAAGGCAAATTTAATTTGAGAATTTCTCTACTCCTTATAGAAGAAAACTATATGGGAAAACAGTTCAGTAAGTAATGTGGTCATATTTATAGGTGACATTTTTCCAGTCTGTTTTGAGGGCCTGAATTTCAAGATTGGCTGGTAATTTTCATCATTTCCTCTTAGGTCATGTGTGGGGTACTTGTATCTGAATTGCAGTACTTGTTAATTTACTATGGTATGTGTATTTGAGCAGCAAGTAACTAGATTACTTATTTCTTGACTTTTCCCCTTTTTGGAAATATGGTACAGTCTATTAAATAAATGCCTATTGATTATTATAAAGAATAGAATCCCATCTTGTTTGTTCTGAAAGATAATATTGACAGGGAGGTGAAGAGATGGCTCAGCACTGGTTGCTCTTCCAGAGGACCTGAGTTCAATTCCCCAGCAACCACATGGCTACTCTCAGCCATCTATGGTGGGATCTGATGCCCTCTTCTGACATAAGGTCATACATACATGTAAAGCATGGATATACATCAAATAAATAAATAAATGCTCATGTTGACGAATGGAGAAGCAGACGATGGTTAACCTTAAGTTCCGCTAATTGAAAAAATTCATTCTTTATAACTGATTCTAGAAAATAAAACACATACAGTGCTTTTTATTTTACTAGTAATTAGTTTGTCTTTGAAATGTAAAATAATTAAGTTACTAAACTTCATGTTCTCAAACATAAAAAATATAATTAGTCATGATTTTTGTTGTAATATGGTCTTAAACTACTTTTTATATTTACCACATTTTATAATGAGAATTATGGAATTATAAGTGTACTTGTAAAGTAATATAATATAAAAATCTTAAAACAGTTGATTTGGAAACAAATCAGTGAGCAAATTCTATCTTTAAGACACAAATAAAAACTTTTTAAAATACAAGTGCTTCTTAGTGTCTTCATTTTTTGCTAATTCCTTTTTATTTTTTATGTGCATTGGTGTTTTGTTTGTGTATATGTCTGTGGGAGGGTGTTGGATTCCTGGGAACTAGAGTTACAGACAGTTGTGAGCAGTCATGTGGGTGCTGGGAATCTGGAAGAACAGTTAGTGCTTTTAACCACCAAGACATATCTCTAGCCCCCTGTCTCCATTTTAAAACTGTGTTTTTAAAAGGGAAATTATGATTGAAATTGAGCAAATTAATTTCTTTACTCAAGTTTTAGTGTTGGATTTTCCAGCATCCAATATGTAACCCTGCCCATGTCCCCAGTTTACCTTCAGATCTAAATAACAAATAGAAATACAGCTTATGCTTACTTCAATTTAGGAAAGTTTACTCTAAGGAAAATTAGTTAAAAGTCAACTTTTCCAGTCACCAACAAGCATCAGACCAAACTGATTTGTCTCCTCTATCAGAGGCTTCTTTGCTGCACTGTTCTGGTCTGGGCTCTCGCTGTCTTACCTCACACTGAATAATTCACTGAACACTTTTTTTTTTTACTAGTTTAGGTATCAAATTTCCTTGTAAATTTTACACAGTGGCAAAAAGTTATTTCAGCTCTATTAACTTCTATGAATAAAATAATGAACACTGAAGTCTTTAAGTCATAAAACTTAATTCAGTCTATAATTTTTCTAAATGCTGAGCAAGCTAATTCCTATCATGGCACACAGCTCTGTTTTTACACTCATTTTTAAAGCCAGCTAGTGTTTTTTGGTTTATTGTTGACTGCCATCTAGTGGGTTAAACTATTCTTTCACAATAGCCCACTAAATTTGAGTGACTCATTTCTGTGTGGAAATAGTTGCCATGTCTGTGTTCCTTTGTTTTTGCTGGCTGTTGTGTTTAACACAACTGATTTGTAAAGTTGCTGGAACATTTTGGTGATGATGACTCTTGAAGCAATCGGTATAAACAGTATAGATATTATGTCACATTCAAATAAACTGATCTATTTGAGAGAATTTGATCTTTGGTAATTAAAATTGATGTCTATGTAAATTATTTTAATAATCACTGTTTTTCATTAATTATGCACTTTGCCTGCTTTTAATATATTTTTCTCATATTTATTTGCAGATGCTACAACTGTGGTGGCCTTGACCATCATGCTAAAGAATGTAGTCTACCTCCTCAGCCAAAGAAGTGCCATTACTGTCAGAGCATCATGCACATGGTGGCAAACTGCCCACACAGAAATGTCGCACAGCTGCCTGCCAGCTCTCAGGGAAGACAGGAGGCAGAATCCCAACCGTGCACTTCTGCTTTGCCGAGAGAAGTGGGAGGGGCCCATGGCTGCACATCAACATTTCCTCAGGAGGCGAGGTCAGAGCTGGCAGAGCTTTCAGACAGGTCACCCCAGGAAGTTTCTTCCGTGAAGGCACCAGAAGAGCAAAACAAAAAGGGGCCTTCAATTCAAAAGCGGAAGAAAACCTAATACTTGTCAACCTTCTCTTCACCGGGTTGGGAAGTCTACCTCACACAAGCACAGGGGAATGGCATTCCACAGAGAGCAGCTGACTAGGATTCTAACTACTGCCAAGGAAGTGGGAATTTTTAATCAGATAAATCACTCTTAAGCAGATTACATTTAAGCGGGGTGTCATGTTTTACAGACTTGAGATACTATATATATAGTATGTGTATAAGTGAAAGGGAAGATGTGAGTGCATGTATGTGTGAGGATTTCACATAGGAGTGCAGGCAATACATACATATATGTATGTATATGCCTGTCTTTATACACGTATGTATGGAGATAAAAGCACATACTATCCCACAGATAATTGAGCATCTCCAATCATTGAACGTCCATGTGAAACATTTGAGATGGTTTCAGAATTAACCCTTGAATTTTTTCCTAAATACCACTTCTTTTATATTGTAAAAAGTAACATCCTACTGTTACCTTTCATGTGAACCAAAGCATGCTTCAGATGTCAGACTGCCAGTCAAATGGTACTAAAGGGTTTGGGGCTACTTGGTGCCTCCCAAGTCTGGATTCATCACTGTGGCCTGGTGCTGATGGAGTGTTTTGCTGTTGCTGTTATTTGCCTTCTGTTTGAAGGTGGTAACTTAATTCTAATGCCTCTGACTGCCGTAAGCTTTTAATTTTTGGATACATAACTCCAGAAAAAGACTATGAATGTGAAGTTTCTGGACTGATATTTCAGTATCTTTTATCCTGTTTTTTTTTATGTAATTTACATGCCTAGTAAGAAGGGGAGGGTAATGTATAAATATGTGCTGTGACACTTTCCAGGAGTGTTTTGATACCAGCCTTTTACAAGTGTCTGATGTGTTTAAGGGGCTATGGCAGCATAAGCTTCCCTTGACTAAATAGCTTCTGAGCCATCACTGAGAACAGGAAGGTCTCCTTACTTACTACTGAAGCCTTAGAAGAAAACTCATTATTCAAGTATATTTTGGTGGCTGTTTTTATTCCCCCCATAGACTCCTCAGACTATTTCTAAAACAAACAAAGCACCATTGGAATGAAGAAAATAGTGGGGCTTAGAATGAAAATTAAGTAGATGCTCACAATTGCCTGACAGATATAGCCCGTGATTGATACTCAAAAGAATAGTGTTTGGTAACAGGCAGCTAGAATGACAAGCCTAGAGCTGAGTTACCAAGTCCCCTACTGCCATGTAGCTAGAAATACTTTCTATGATAACATTGATGCCATGGCAGTTATCTTGAGTATAGAAGCTGACATAACCTAGTTATGGATTCAGGGTGAGCATTCAGGGCTATTGATGAGAATCTTCTCAGATGGGTTCTCAGTTTGCTCACAGATAGTTTAGGGACTGATCAGAGTATAGGTCTGTTTTCCATCATGTTAAAAAAATGGATTTAGCCTGGTTCTAAATGTGATGAGAGCAAACTTTTGAAACATCTCCAAGGTACCAAGAATTGCAGTGCATCATTTTGGCAATAAATATAATTTTATATGGACCTGTTGGTATAAGCTCAGATAATCAAACAAGAAAGCATCCTGACTCAAAAGAGATGCAATCTACTGAGGAGTTCCTTCCTCCTGTGTGCCAGTCCTTTCCAGGTTAGCTTGAATTTCTTGACAGTATTTATGAGAATTTCCGTAGTGTTTTATTGACGTATCATGTGCTGCAATGCAGAGCTTACTGTTGACGATATTGAATGTGATGTAGCCATAGAGAAGCACTGCCTTGCCTTACATGAGGGTGGCAAGCTTATGTAAATTATGTAGACAAATCAAAATGTCACCCGAGTATAATGAACAAAGGAACAGTTGTACAAGCAAAATATGGTAGGTCACTTTGAAAGTCAAACCAAAGTTCCTTGACTATAGAAATAGGAAATTAAGGACTTGAAAATTGGAAATTCTGTTTACATATGAAAATTCAGAGCTGAGATCATTTTTAAAACTAAAAATAGAAAATTCTGAAACACTTGAACTATGAACCTTATGGATGCAGTTGGCATTTTTCCGCATCTGACCAGACTGAATTACTAAGAGCACATACCAAACCTATCTTATGGTTAAAAGTTGGGGTTTATTTTTTATATGAATATATTGTCACTATTACATGCTCAGGACAAAGAACTTTGCTCAGGGAACATACAATATAATGTTTTTACTGTTTCTTTACAGACTCGTCTATAGTCCAGCTTATTCCAAACAAGCCAAATAAATTAGGTCTTTCTGTACATGCATGTCCTTGTTGGTAACTACCTCTGAGTTTGACATTGATCATAATTCTGAATATCAGATATTGGTCCTCCTGTTTTTATTTCATGTGAAAAGTCTTGTAAAGCCAAACTCCTCCCCTCCTTGCAGATGTGAAGTCTCTGATATGAGCACATTGTTGATTCACACGAGTGAAACACTCTGTTTACAGCGAACAGCTACCTCCTAGCTACTACATAGCACAACCTTGCTGCTGCTGCAGCCTTGTAAGCTGCTGCTCATTCTGTGGTACAGACACTTTAATCTGTAGCATAGATGGTTTCCAGAAATGCCTGCGAATAATAGGACCTCTCATGTTAGAGAGCAGTCTCCAAGCATTTCCTCAGAGTTATCATGTATTGAGTTTAGGGAAGATAGGCACTCTTTATCCTAAGCAAACAACACAGAAACAATCTCAAAAATAGCTCTGTAGCCCAGGGCTGGGGGCAGGAGGGCTAACAGAAGCAAAAGTGGTGTCTGTGCTTTGCTGACAAGTGGTATTAAATATTCCTACCCCTGCACTGTCCTGAGGAAAGCACACTGCAGCATACAAGCCCCAGGCATGTAACTAGCCAGTGCCAGCCTGCCATGGAGGGACTTAAAGTGTGGTGCCACTCTGAGCCAGGAGGGAAAGGGGTCTGTGGAGCACCATTTTTTCAGAGGTTCCTAATAGTGGGGTGAGGGTCTATGAATTGAGCCACCTCTTGACCTTCCGCTCATATCAACACAGATGTAATTCCTAAAAAGGATGCTCTACCAGTCTTTTAGCATGTGAACTATTCATTGTCTACACAGCAGGTCATAGTGGAGACATTTTTATACTTGCATTTCTAGTATTTGGATGTATTTTTACAAATGAAAGATTTAGGAGGATTTTTAATCTGCTTATAACTTAGAAACTTTCGTGTGCAACCTAAAGGAAAAGATAAAAGACATCGCGTTATTAGCATCAGTCCACCTCCCAAATATTGGATGGTTTTTATTCCAATTATTTTTATACTCTGGCTCAGATTTAGTTTGCACCAGTGCACGCCTGAGTTGCTGCTGGGTGTATGTAGTTTGTGAATAGAAGCCCCAAAGTGTTAATAGACTTTGTAACATTCACTGTAAGATGAATTAGTCAGGATGTGGGGAATCTCATTAAGTCTTAAAGTTAATTTAAATTAATTTATCTGTTTTCTCTAAGAAATGTTTATCTTAAAATATATATGTAATTCACCTTTGTGGTAAAACCTAGGAAATTCTGTTCAAGTGCAGCTGCACCGACTTTAATTTTCTAGATGTCTTGATGAGATTTCTTTGTCTTAGAGAAAGAACAACTTGTTGAGAGCATCCAGTTCTGTCTTACACAGTCAACAGCCTCTTGAGATGTGCCTGTGTGTGCTGTGACCTAGTTGTTCAGTTAGAGTGAGAGGGTGTGGATCTTATGCTTGGAACAAAGTACTGTACTGTGAGAAAGTATTACAATACTTAATACACCTGTGGCTTACCGCTTATCAGTAAGTTCCCAGCTTGAAAATGATGCTGTTGACTACCTCTTCTATGTTTATCAACCACAGGTACCCACCATCAAGCTGGCTTTAATTCATATGTGTTGATTTTGTGGCGATAACAACTCTAGCCATATAAAGACCAAAGTGAACCCTGATTTCTATGTCTTTAATACAGTGTTTTATCTAGTAATTTGAAATTATCTTGTAGTGCTTAGAATACCTGATAGTCCATTTTGATTCATGTTGTTTACAAGTGAAAAATCTTGAAAATACACTTGAACTGTGATTACAAAGAACAAAAGAGGAGTTGATATTAGAATGTCACCTCAATGGACTGCTCTGCAGACATGAGCTTAGTATTGGCTTTTCATGCCAGATGTCTTACTCTGTTAGCTATTGATGTTTTGAGGTTTAAAATTACATGATAGAAAATAAAAGATATAATGCATTTATGATTGGTCTGGAGGTTTTTTGTGTTGCTTTGTATGATTGAGAAATTAAGTAAATGGATAAAGAGCCCTTTAGGAGGTATTTACACCAAGGTGGGGATGATTTAAGGTTTCAGTGGGGTCTGTTAGTAGTGTAAACATGGAAGTCTTTCTTTGGGGGCATGTCTTCATCAGGGTTGTCCAGTATTACCCAGAAGAGACTGTACAAACTTTTAAATCAAGACGTATCCTTTGTGTGGTCAGAAAGAATGTTATGAAACTTGCAAAACCTTTTGGAGAAATCATTTTAGAATATTCTTAACAGGTTTTGCCTAATCATGGAGGATTTGGAAGGAACAAACTAGGACACCCCAGTACCAAATATTTAAAATGTTAGTGTAAATTGACCAGACTGTGTGGAGTGGCCATGCACTGACAAAATAAATTGCTTACACTGTTCTCTATACTGCCCAGTCCCATAATTAAACTCATTTCCACTCCATTCCTAGATGATTGACTTCCTTATTTGTTGTTCTATGACCCCTACATTATTTATATTCAGTAGTTAAGAACATCTTTTAAATATGTGTATGTGACTGTGTGCGTGTGAGTGCAGATACCCTTGGAGAGCAGAAGCATTGGGTCTCTTGGAGCTGGGGTTCCAGGGCGTTGAGAGACTCCTGATGTGGGTGCTGGCAACAACTGAGGTTCTCTGCAAGAGCAGTGCTCATTCTTACCCAGTGTCCAGTGAACCTTCTCTCCAGCTCATGGGTTTTGTTTTGTTTGTTTATGAACCTTGGCCGTTTTAAGTGACTACTTCCACAGTTTGAACCCGCTCATGTGCTCATGTGCTCATGGATCAGTGAATAGATTCACTTCTTTTGGGTTAGGAAGAGCTTTTTGTTATACAAACTTTTATTTAAAAATGTAGTATTGTACTTTAGAAAATCTGAAAAAATGTTTTTTAAAAAGAAAAATATAGGGAATGGAGAGATATCAGTGATTAAGAGCACTGTCTGCTCCTGTAGAGGACCTGGGTTTAGTTTCCAGCACCCACATGGAGGCTTACAACCATCTATAACTCCAGTTCGAGGGTATCAAGTGCCCTCCTCCATCCTCTGTGGGTGCTAGGTACAAATGAGGTACACATACTGAAGGCAAAAAAAAACCTCATCCTCATATGCAAAAATAAATATTAAATAGAAAAATATGAAATAAAATATATAATACCGTTACATTCAAATAACTAATAATACTTGTCTTGATTTTAAAATGTGAACAAATTTCTAAGATAGTCCTATGATCACGAAATAACCTATTAACATTTTGTTAATGTTCTTATGTTAGACAGATGTGCACGCATACACACACATAGGGTCCTACATATCTACATTAGGTAAGTTTGGAGCTTTACTTGACATTTGACATTTACTTGGCATTAGCTATAGTTTGGAAGTTTCATTTGTCATTTGTCATACATTGTTTTGTTGTACAAATAAAAGTTCTTCAGCGGCCTGGAGAGATGGGTGCCTCAACAGTGAAGAACACCAGCTGTTCTTCCAGAGGAGCTGGGTTTGATTACCAGAATTCACATGGTGGCTCACAACCATTTTATTATAGATTTTTAAAAAAATATTTGTGTGCACGTAGTATGTATGCATGTCTTGTTTGTGCCTGGCACCCTCAGAAGACAAACGAGGGTACTGGATCCCCTGGAACTCAAGTTATAGATGGGTTGTGAGCTACCACTTGAGTGCTGGGAAACAAACCTACGTCTTCTGTTGGAGCAGCTAGTGCTCTTAGCCACTGAGCCACGTCCAGCTTCAGGGGATCCAATACTCTCTTTTGGTTTTGGCCTGTACAAGTACCAGGCACACGTGTAGTACACAGACACACATGCAGGTAAAACACCTGTACACGTTGTTTTAACTTAAGTAAATTGTTTGGAAATACACTGTTGATGAAAGCACGTTTAGCTTGAAGGTTTGGTTTTGTTTTTAAGACAATGACTGAATCTTAAGACTTGGTAGAAGAACTAGAAAGATGGGCCAGTGGTCAGGAACGCTTGCTGCTCTTTCAGAGGGCTCTGGTTTCCTGCCCAGGTCAAATGACTCAACCATTTGAACTCTAGCTCCAAGGGATTTGATATCCATTTCACCCCTACATCTCTATAAATAAAAGTGAGCTACATTAAAATAAATGAGAATTGCACTAAGTAATAAACATAAGAGAGATGACACAAAACTTACCATGTCTGAAAATAATTCAACAGATGAGGTTAACAGGCTACAAACAAAACTAAGGGCACAGGAAGATGGGTGAGTACGATGGATCCAGATGCTAGAGAATGTTGAACGGCGCAGTATATATTAAAGCACTAGCAGGAGCTTGGAAGACCAACACAAGCGTTCACTTGAAAAGGGAGGACAAAGGAAAACAGTGGAGTCACTGGAAACAGGCATCAAGAGTTCTCAAGACGGGCTCAAGTTCGGTTCTCAGCACCCACACCAGGGCTCACAGCCATCTGCATCCCAGGCCCTCTTCTGCCCTTGCTTTTTTGTTTACTATTATTTCTTTAGGGAAAAAAATGCATGAAAAAGAACCAATGACTGTGGAAACAGTAAGTTGCTGCACCAGCTGTGTTTCCATAACATCCCAGTTTACTTCCCCCATAGTTTGTGGCTGAGCCGTTAGCTACAAGCTCACTGGGCCTGTGCACTTGGCTCTTCTTGCGTATGGGTGTCTCTTCCAAATCCTCATTGTGCGTTGGAACTCAAGTGACTCCAAGAGCAAACGAGAATAGACACTCCACAGAAGGGAACATGCTTTAGTCCTGAGTAGACCTGGGAAGGAAAGCAGGAAGCCGTGAGAGAGGAAGAGCCCTGTGTATGTGGTCAGTTAGTATGAAGGGGCTTCGCAGCTTTGGCTTCAGTAGCCTGCATGTGGGGTGGGAGGGCACACACAGGGAACTATCAGGGTTTGTGTATGTTGATACACAAATAAATATAACTAGAAATAGAAATAAATAACTTTGGTGTCTGAATGAAATTCTCCAGACCCTGACTGAAAAGTGATGGGAAGGTCTGAACTTTTACTAGAAATGTGCAACCAGACTGTGGCACCTCCCACCTGATGGAGAAAAGTATGGCCACTCTGTCCCCTCCAGAGAACTACTCTGCGGCAAATTTGATGGTGTGATGTGTATGTGACAGGAGAATTTGCTAGAATGGGCAGGCTAGCACGGCCCTGTAATTAGTGTTTGCTTTCTAACAGGAAGTCCAGAAGCCTCGGTCCTTGGAGCTGTGTCTGCATTATGTGCCTCTCTGCCTTTCTAGTGCACTGTGGAAACTGTCAGACCCAAAATGGACTCTCTTGTGTCAAGCCCTAACAGAAATCAAGGAAGCTAGGCCCATCTGAAGGGGAAACATCAAACATATATGCTTGATACGGTACATTGCAAGTTCCCCAGAGCCATCCTCTAATGCAAACAAACCACACCAATGAGCCACATTCACACTTGGAGATCCCACTTCTTAGAAGCACACATTAATAACCGACACTGTTTTCACTTAGGAATTCTTCAAAAATGGAACCTGTTCCCCATGGAGCTTCTTTCTTTTCTTCTTTTGCTTTTTTGAGACAGGGTTTCTATGTGTAGTCCTGGCTGTCCTGGAACTCACTCTTGTAGACCTGGTTGGCCTCAAACTCACAGATCCACCTTCCTCTGCCTCCTTATTGCTGAGATTAAAGGCATGCACCATTACTATCCGGCATGAAGCTTTTCTTGAGGAAGTATGGGGAATATGACCTAAATCATGCCACACAGAAAAGTGTGTCTTAAAGCAGTCCATTTTCTGTAGGTCTCTGGAAGTGAAAAGTTCCTTTTAGGGTATGGAAATGGGGAGAAGATGGTCCACAATATGTAGTCAACAGTGAGAAGTTCTGCACTGTCCCACAGGATACCTAGAGGCAACAATTTTAAGGTATATATTTCAGGTTAGTCAGATGGCTCATTGGGTGAAGACACTTGATGGCAAATTTGATGAGCAGAGTTCCATACCCTTCTATCTCACATGGTGGAAAGAGAGCTGACTCACAGGTTGTCCTCTGACCTCCACATGTGGGCAGTTGCACTCCTCAGCACATAAGATGAATAAAAACTTAATTAAAAACTAACTTAAAATATTAATACAATGCACACACACAACAGATCACATAGATAAAAGAAAACTGACTCCTCCATTGCTGGTGGGAGTGCCAACTGGTTCAGCCACTTTGGAAATCAGTATGCAGATTCCTCAGAAAAATGGGAATAAACCTACCACAAGACCCAGCAACTCCACTCTTAGGCATATATCCAAAAGATGCCCATTCATACAACAAAGATGTCTGTTCCACTATGTTCATAGCAGCATTATTTGTAATAGCCAGAACTTGGAAGCAACCTAGATGTCCCTCACCCGAAGAGTGGATAGAGAAAATGTGGTACATTTACACAATGGAGTACTATTCAGCAGAAAAAAACAATGGAATCTTGAGATTCTCAGGCAAATGGATGACACTAGAAGAAACCATCCTGAGTGAGGTAACCCAGTCACAAAAAGACAAGCATGGCATGTACTCTCTCATATATGGATTTTAGACATAGATCTGGGGAGTGCCAGCCTACAATCCCATGGCCAGAGAGTCTGGGAAACAGAAACTTCATTTAGTGGCTGATCGAAGAAGAGGGAGACTCCCTCGGTTAAGTACTGAGCTGAACTCAAGAAAGCCAGTAACAGAGAGGGAGGACTGATGACCAAAGGGATTAAGACTGGGCTGGTTTAACCCCCATAAACAGCTGACCTGACAAAGGTTAACTCTTGAATCCCAGGCATCAGCCTGGGAATCCAGCATGGGACTGATCAAGACCCCCTGAATCTGGGTGTCAATGAGGAGGCCTAGGTAATCTATTGAGCCTTGGGCAGCAGATCAGTACCCATCCCAAGTATACACACGGACTTTGGACTCCAATAGAACAATGT